GCTTTTTTGACACACATTCCAATCCGATCTCTACCCGGCGTGAGCCTCAGCAAGACTCTGAGCTGCCCAAAGCCTCAAAGCGCAAGGCCACCCCCAGGATCGACCTCGACACCCACTACAAGCATCAGGAAACCAACAAGGAGTGTGGAAGGCTCCTCACACTTGCGTCACTAGGTGCATCATCCACAGACAGGCAGCGAGCAGCAGCTAGGGTTGTAGATACCACACACATCATAAAGCGCGGAATCATCTGCAAGCCACGCGATCACACCTCACCGCTCGAACGCTACAAGCCCAGAAAGGGACGTCTTACCATGGGTAGTCGCAAGCCGGCACCGCCCCCAGAACTTATAACCTCTAATGCCGTTCCCCCCATCATTGTTGCTCCACAGCCAGTGCGACCCCTTCCCAACTTCGTTAAGGTCAACACACACGCACGACCCATTTGCCCTCTTCCATCCAAAGTCAGGCCCACCCTCCACATTGAAACACTCAAGAAGCAGGTCTCCGCTACCCGCTTCAGACTACAACTGATATTAGGAGCGTTCTGGGAGAGAATTGATCAGGACAAATGAAAGAAGGTACAACTCCTCGCATCAGAGTTAGACAAAGTCTGCGCAGACCTCTACATGGGAACTCGCGAATACACCTTCGTCGACAAACAGGTCATCAACACGTGCTGCCTAGAAATAGGAAGGATCAACTTCAAGGAGATAGGGAAGCAACAGAGGTTAGACGAGATCGTCAGGGAGATTGGGAAAGTCAAGGACAAGCAGTACCTAGGCTTCATTTTCAATTAGTTTAACTACATCTAGATCACAATGGAAGGAGCCGATCGTGCGTACGCATCCACGTTCAGGCAAAGAATGGATGATATTCTGCATACAAACGTCGAGTCAGCACACGATGGAAGCACCCCACGCGCCTCACAGTGCAATTTGCCAGAACCTGCACTAGGACCGCAGGATTCTGCATCGCAAGTTGGAGGACCAGCGTCCCCAACCCCATCACTCTTACCCGCCTATGTTCCCCCCATCTGGGAATTCGACGGACACCAGTTCGAGCATCTAGAAGATGCGCTCAGACAGTCCACTCCCGGAGAAGTCCCGGACCACATCCGCGAATGGGTTATTGTGGCAATGAAGCTCACGGTCAGTACCGAAGTTGCCAAGGTCTACAATGTGCTCGGAAACAAGATGTACGAGCACAAGAAAGCCTTCGAGTCGCTGATCCAAAACAACAAAAGCGAACACCGACTCAAGGAAGGAATGCTCCAGACGGAGATCGGAAAACTCAAGGATAGGATCCTCGCGCAAGATGCGCATATGACAGTTTTGAACGATGAGCTCACGGGAACCCAGGCGGCAATGCTCGATACAGGCAAAGAAATGATGGAAATCAAGGCAGCTAACGTCAAGCTGCGACATGAGCTAGCTTCGCTCAAAGCAAGCGGCGTCACTGTGACACAAGGTCAAATGTCCGGCACGGTCCAATCGCACAAACCCCGCATCAAAATTGCTGAGCCTCCACACTACTCGGGCAAAGGAAGTCTGGAGGATTGGCTCCAACAACTCGGTATATGGATGCGGTGGAATGAGATCAATGACGACGAGCACAAGATCACCACGGCCCTGCTGCATTTGGAAGGTGGGGCGTTCACATACATGTCTGAATATGCGACCAGAGCAGCAGCACGGCAGACACTTGGCACATGGGAAGACTTTGTCAACATTCTCAAAGTGAACTACAGAACCCTCGACCCGGACAAGGATGCACAGCAGCATCTGAAGGATATCTGTGGCAAGACATATCCCACGATGGTATCCTTTGCAGAACAGTTCCGCCAATGGGCCACTAAGACCAACTTAGGGCACACTGCACTCATCGGTTACATCGCTGAACACCGAAGCAAGGACGTACGCCAGGCAATGGTCACACGAGACAGTCTAGGAATTTCTGACCCCATTACATGGCCAGAATATCTCGACCTATGCCTTCAATTAGAGTCCAAGTTCAGAGCCGACAAGGCAGGACAACGTGGAACGGTTACAACATCATCATCATCGGCACCACGGGCCCCGAAAGACCCCAATGCAATGGTCGTGGATCGAGTATCCACCCTCACCAAGGAACAAGAAGGATGGCTGGAGAAGAAGCTGTGTGTACGATGTGGGAAACACCCCTTCATTTTTAAACAGCGATGCCCAGACCCCAAGTACAAAGGCAAATTCGAAATGCCGAAG